GGGGTGAGCAGCAGAGGTGGGGAGTGGCGGGGCTATGGCGTCATCGTTATCAGGAAATGATCGTATAGGACGTACAGACGGAGCCGTTTGACCCCCCAGAGCGTTTCGTCCGCAGACCTACCCACCTTGGGAGCCGTTATCGTTTGAGGGCTCCGTTTCCGCGGTTCCGTTACGGCCTCGTGTGAACGAACCGTCCATACGATAGAGAACTGTAGCGGATACAACCCGTTTCGTCTCTGTGTAAACGTGGCCTAAGTGCACTTGTTATTTTGGTGTCTGCATCTTATTTTTGCAGCTCGATTCTTACTGACTCCTCCTAGAGGACTGCTGCAGGGCTGAAATGATACATGAAGACATCGTTTATTCACAAACACGCTTATAATGTGTGAATCTGCTTTCATTTGTATTCTACCATTCTGCATTAAATGGGATTTGAAGTTTCAAAGGACAAAACTAGTTATTTTATTTATGTATATATAATATCCTGCTTTATATTTTGTTACTGTAAACAACATATATTTTCTACTTTTTTAATGCTATTTTATTTCTATTTGAGATGTTTACATTTTGGACTGCTTATTTATAGTCTTTTAATTTCTCTAATGTACAATACCTTGTCTTTTTAGGCTCCTGCAACGCAAACATTTCCCAAATTGGGATCAATAAAGTCATTCTTATCTTATCTTATGTAACCATAGGCTAGGGAAAGTATGATGACCATTATCATTTAAAAAAAATTATTTTCTTAACAATAACATCGCCTGTAAAATATACAGATATATATATATATAATATATATATGTAAATCATATCAAACCTCCAGTCCTTGTAGTTCAGATGTGACTTAAAGGCAGTGAGATGTTTCCAGCTCTTCCTAACTCTCCCCCCCCCCCCCCCTCCCTTGCAGAGCCCCCCCGGTGTTCAGCGAGGAGCTCCTGCTCAGCTGTGGCTTCCTGCTGTGTCAGCGCCTGGTGACCCGCATGGACCTGGTCTCCGTCCACCTGTCCTCCAGCCCCCGCCTCTTCTCCTTCCTCTCTCTGGCCTGGGGCTTCGTGGCGGACGTGGACATCGAAAGCGAGAAGTACCGCCACGCGGGAGCCGCTCGCTTCACCGTGGGCACGCTGGTGCGGGTGGCCTCTCTGCGCGTCTACAGAGGCACGCTCTCCTACCTGCCGGTCGCCGAGGACGACGGGGAGGAGGACGACCCGCCGCCGCACCACCAGGCCCCCCCCTCCAGAGACGCGCCCTGCCAGAACTCCTTCCACAACTCCTGCCACTCCAACAACTCCCTGAAGGTGAGGAAGGCGGAGAGCACGCCTTCTCGCAACGCCACCAAAGCCCCCAGGGGCCCCCCCGACTCCTTGCTGCTGCCCCTGGACCAGCCGTTGCCCGGCGACTGGGTGGTGGTGCCGGAGGAGGATTTTGTCCTGGTGCTGGCCATGTACCAGTCCAACCTGGCGGAGGACCTGCTGGCATCACCGGACTCCACCCCTGACGACGGCTTCATCCACCTGTTCTACGTGACGGGGGGGATATCCCGCGCCGCGCTGCTGAAGCTCTTCCTGGCGATGGAGAAGGGGTTACATCTGGCCAGCAGCTGTCAACATCTGGTGCACGCTAAGGTGCGGGCGCTCAGGCTGGAGCCGTCCTCCCCCAAAGGGGTGATCACCGTGGACGGAGAGGTGGTGGAGTACGGGCCGCTGCAGGCCGAGGTGCACCGAGGGCTGGCCAGGCTGATCACTGCATAAACTAATAGACTGATAGACTTCAAGACTCGGTCCAATAAACATATTTGAGCGTTTTTGATTCAGAAATGTCCAGGTACGGGAGCAAAGCAATGTAAGACACGTTCACTGTTAACCGCAACGTTATCTGCCTCATCGGTACAGAGAAGAGGCTTCAGTAGGAAGTGAACCTGTTGGGTATGTTTGGTGCTGATTTATCCCGTTCATGTGAATAACTGGCTTCCTATGACTTGACTGGCAGTGACTTATGAAATTACCAAATAGTTATTAGAGTTGAAGGTGGGCTCCAAAGAAAGTTATTACACTGAGGAAAGAAGACCTCCTGGAGCTGAATTGTAAACATGAGACATCAGAGGCTCCTGGACGGGTGGTTGATGTTTCAGTGCCTCCGTGTGCTCCTCCGCTGCATCCTCCACCCACAGGCTGTCCGTGTGGCAGATTTATTAACCATCACCAAGGTGTCCTTACCATTGAGCCTTAAGTCACGTTAAGCCTACCCAGGCAGCAAAGTCAGATTTTAAAATGTGTTTTTAATTGCGATCCTAATCTCTTCTGAGGTTTGTTTCTTTCATTGGACAAAAAAAAGACGTGAACACAATGAAATCAGTTTGAATCAAAGAGAAATGAACTCTGAGTGGCCTTAAACAGGGAGGGGGGGAGGGAGCTGGCGAAAACAGCATGATGGTGTGTGTAGGGAGGACATGGAGAGGGGAGAGAGAAGAGGGGAGGGGGAGATATCGACTTGTTAAATGCTGCATGAGGTAGACGAGTTATGTTCTTGACACGGCGCCGTTATTCTTCATCCTCACCACAGGAAATCATTTGGGAGCTTTAGCAAAGTGTCCTGACGCTCAGAGAGAGAGAGAGGAGTGGGTTTCACCTCGAGGCCAACGCACAGGGACAGTAACTGTACATTAGGAAATAAGGGGAGGGGGATTTCAACATTAACACCACAGCTTGTTATTTCAGTTATGCATAATATGTTTTATGTAATCAGCATGCCACATGTATGTTTGACACTGTAAAGAATTGACTTGTTAAAGACCAAAAAATATTGTATTTAAAAAGATTATTATTTTACATGATTTTGCACAATGTTAGTTTGGTGCCAAGTTTCAAGCCTTTATGGGACATGGAGGTCCATTTTCTGTTATTTTGTCCAAATGATGTTTACTCGAGTTCAGCAGACGAGCTGGAAGCACATACGATGGAAACCTTACTTGAAGACGCACCTTCCCAATTTGCTTTTGCTGTTTTATGGAGAAAATGTGATCCGTAGCACCAAAACCTGAGGTCTGGCTACTGACTGTTAAAGTGGACTGAGTGTTGATCCATCACAAACCTTTATTTGCATGGGACCCCTTAAAATGAAACGAGTATGCCAACGTGTACGTTCACCCAAAGAGAGAAAAATTACATAAAATGTAGTGGCCTTAAGATGTAAAATCATCCTAAATTAATAATAAATAATCCTTATTAATACAAACAAATGATTGGGTTGAACAAAGTAAAAACATCTTAACTTTGTGTAGGAAAAATAATATGTGTTCGCATTTAGTTTGGGATCCACAGATGTAAGGAAAAATACATGATATTATCACATTTGTTTTACCACAGTGCTACTGACCCCAAACACTTCCATACATTTGATGTTCTATGCAAAGCTAGGTGTCTGTGATGCAGTGATCCTCTGTCTGTGTGCCTTGATGTGCTGCCCCCTGCTGGCCTCAACATGCTGGTGCATCCTTAAGGAAATACACTCATTTTCCCAACATCAGTGAAAAATAAATCCGATTGGGAAAGTTAAGGTAGTCAAACATTTGCACTTATATCTGAAAAAAGGTGTAATTTTGGCACATTTTGACTCGAAAACTGTTATTACTATGGTGACACCTCTTCCTTAATCTTCAGCTTCTCACGAGGAAGAAACTGGAGCGACAGAATGATCCAGTTTCTCTCTAGGTCAGAAAATATAAATGACTTGAATCAGACGGATATGTTACAGATGATGAAGGACCTGATGTTCATTTTGTAGAAGAGAGACATATTAACTCCGTCTGATGGTTGCTCTTATCGTGTTTACCTGCTGCTTATTAACTGTTGTCTTTGTTTGTGGTGAAGGGAGGAACTCCTTTTATTTTTCTGCACACTGAAGATTGAAATGATTGATTCTTTATTCTTGAGAGATCTATTTTTCCATTTGACAAATGTCTGTATTTTTTTCTACTATAAAATCAAACATTCTGCTGGAGTGTTTCGGATTGGAAAATAAATCATGAAAAATGAACCGTCTGATTTGTTTTTTTAACAGTTTGTTTTAAAAGGCACAGTTTCCTGAACTACTGTGCACTGTTAGTTAATCAAACATGAGAAAAACGGTCTGTATTTTGGAGACTATCTTCAGCTGTGGATTCATACACATTTAGGGATATTAGTATTTAATACAAGGCTTAGTTGAATACTGGATTCTGATTGGTCAATTCGGACATTTCAGAATCAAGCTTATTGCCAGGAAAGTTTACACATACAAGGAATTTGCTTTGGTGTCTGGTGGTGCGAACATAAACAATCTATGAAAATAAGTTGTAATGGTAGGTAAAGAAAATATAAAGATAATAAAAATAAGTATTTTTAAGAAACTATTCGGCATAAAAAAATGGATACTATAGAAAAGTATTTACACCAAATTTTTGTTAAAAGCTAAAAAACAAAAACACTTGGTGCAATGAATATATGGGAATATATGGCAAACATAATTCACAGAGGTTATTAATACTCGATAAGCAAATGCTCAATATTGACCGTTGCTAAGGAGGATCAAGGGAGAAGGAAAAAGCTTGAATGGAGAGAAACTCCCTCTGGACGGAAGTTTGGTATTTTAGCTTTTGCAAACCATTTTCATGCACAAAAACCTATTTAACACGTAGTGTGTAGGAAAGGGAAAACCCCAAAAGCAGAATAGGGCCACGTTCGTTCTTAAAATGATTGTTGTTGTTTAGTGTCATCGTGTGATTTCTTAAATACCTTTTATATCACTAACTCACCCGGTTACGTTGCATTTACAAAAATAAAGTTCACTGTGTGTTCAAACAAGAACTGTTTGTCCCTCATACATCCAAGTTAACACTGGGTGAGTCATTTATCAAGAAAGATATTTTAAGTACGAAGTATTCTTAAATAGAGAAAACCTACGTGCTTTCTGCAGGCGATAGAACAGCTGACATGGATCCAAATAAATATAAGCCAGAATCTTCCTACGGTTCTGCTTGCAAAGTTTAATACATCACTATACAGTTGTCTTAACGCAACAAAAGTAAACCATTAAAAAATGAAATCATAAGTACAATACACGCTCAGCATTTTGTACAGGTATGCCCCAAGCATCCACGTGACTTGTTAGAACTCAGGTTTGTGTTAAATATATATACACTGTATGTATTTATATATATTTTAATATAGTCATGACATCTGTACAGAGGGAATCAGGCTACAAATCATAACTTTATTAGTTCTTTTTTTAATATTTCAATAACAGGCCACTGTGGAAATGTAGACATCGTACAGTCAAGTCTTGTGTAGTCCGTTCAGAAGGCTTAAAGCAACATGTTACATGCTTTGGCTGTAAAACAAACTCCTCGCAGTAATAATAATAATAATAACAATGGTTTCAATTTGAATAATATACACACATACACAGAAAATTGTACATCATGTGCTTGATATCCTGCCAGATTTGTGTTGCTTAGAGGTCTAGCGAGATAGCTTCACATTTTCTGTTTCTGCAACTTATGACACATGAAGGAGTAATGTCAGCCGTGCTCCAAACTCTTTATGAAAACACAAGGGGGGCATTTTACAAACAGCAGCAAATGGGGAGGGCAGGATGGCAAGTAAGCAAACAAGGCTACATGCCACAGCTTGGAGCAACACCTCCTGTAGCATTAAAGGCAACACAATACAAATAATAATAAAATAATTTATTCAATTCCAAGGAAGAGGACTAATGTCAGAGGCCTGGTCGCCACATCAGATACAGAAATGCCAGTTTTAAGAGTCAGGGTGTATACAAAAACAAAGTCAAAGCAAACTACCCTCATTCATGACCTTTATATGACCTTTATTCCACTTGGCTCATGGTTTTAATCCTCTCCCATCACTCAGAGCTTCACAACGTGCTCTCATTCAGAAACACTCTTCAAGTTCAAGTAAAACACAGCCAGCGCTCTCCTGTGTACAGATCCTAGCAAGCACAAGGGGTTAGTCTGAGCTGTATTAGCACATGTATATCAATGAGCATCAGAATATAGTGACAGAAAGAAAGAGCATTATGTTAGAGGTGGGATGCAGCTATTTCAAAAAAGACAAATGTAAACAAAGACTGCTCTGATCATTCCCAGGAAGCACGGATGGACCCAAAGGTGAGTTTCACTTTCTTTCACAGTTTCAGCGCAATCGGTGGCAAAGCAAGAGTTTCATGCAACTTGGTAAATAAAACCATGATTTAGTTTATCCAATTAACAAATGACAGATAGAGAAATACATGATGTCGTCTGTGTGCTGTTATTTGTGTCATTTTCTCTCACCATTCACCTTCATGGGATAAGACGCTCAAGCCAGGGTGAACACGGAATGATAGGGAAAAAATAAATAAAGCAAAACAGGATAATATAATCTAAGCTTCAGCAGCATACTTAATGTAGTTTGTAATCTGATGTTATTCAACTCTGCACGTGCAATTTGGAGAGGAACAATCAGGATACAGCTATGACCGCAGTCTGCACTATCAGAAACACTGGAGCGGGGTCTGAGTGGTTGTTGGAGTGTGTCTCGGCCTGTGTGTGTGTGTGTGTGTGTGTGTGTGTGTGTGTTAATGTTTAAAGCGTGACTCTGTACAATGATCTGAAATGATTAACAACAATTCAAGTAAGGCAACATGTTGAAATGAGATGAACGGAATGGATCCTGTATGTTTGACTTCCATTTCATCTTGAAATGGTGGCATTTGCATGTGATGTGGGTTCACGTCAGTCACAGAAGAGTGGAGCATTGTGGGTAAAGCTTGGCTCTGAAACTGTAACACTTCAAGCGTCTGTGTGTAAAACGAATTAAAAAGCGTCAAAAAGCACATGTTGCGTTTTGGTGAGGGAACACGTTTTGCTAAATCCTACGGAAAGTGAAAGGAGCTTTTGAATGCAGTTTTAAGCTTCGAGCACACACACACCTCCACGCAGAGCTGACTGTCGTCCCGGGCCTGGCTGGCTCCTCTACACACACACACACACACACACACACACGCACACACACACAGCCTGACCCCGGAGGTGATCCGTGTGTAAACTTTGTCACTCGGTGTTTGCGGCGTGGTTCAGTGCGGGTGCTTGGCGTAGGAAAATACCAGCGAGTTCACTAAAGTGGAAGAAGCGGTGAAGCTGTTGTGGTTGGCAGTTTTACTGACATTCAGTATGCTCTACTTGAATATTGTGTGTGTGTGTGTGTGTGTGTGTGTGTGTGTGTGTTTTTGGACAGAGAGCATTTGGCAGAAAGCGTACAACCAGTGATTTCTATTTAAAAAGAGTCCTCCTGGTCAGTGCGTCTCCTCTCCCAGACCAGACTGTCCGTTGGGTGTTGTAGTGCAGGACGGTGCAGAGAGGACATCAGTAGTGCTACAGAAAGACCCCCAGGAGGCGCTGGGTCTTCAGTTTTTCAGCCATCTTTGATCTCGTCCAAAATGCAGCAATGATAACAAGTCTGCTTAACAGTTTTCAGGCTGATAGAGAGTGGTTAACAAATCCCCCACACATGTGGCGGATGCTGCTGGAGGCTAGGTGGAAGAGAGTCCATGGCACTGATTCTCCGTCTCAGTCAGTTCTTTATGCGTCCAAATCAGCTCCACTAAAGTCCTGCTGAGGCCAAAAGAGAAACTTTGACCTCTGGTAGAAGCTCGTTGTTTACCTGCGTCCAGATGAGGGTTCCTGTGACGGGCAGCTCCAACAGGTTTGTGCAACTGGGTGAGGCTCGCTGCTCTTTATCCATCACACTCATCTGAAGAGTCACTGAAGGAGAACAAAGACATTATCAAGTCGGGTCAGAACCTGAATCGGTGCACTCTCCTCACCATCAGGTGCTGCTCTCCTGCAGTCATGATCCAGAGGGATTATGGGGGGGGGGGGGAAAGAGGGCAGAACATTGTGGAGTTTGGGGGAGCAGGACAGACGAGGAAAAAACGAGGACATGGACGTGGGCAGTGCTGGGGGCACAGCTCTGGACAGGGGTACAGGAGATTGAAAACAGTCGCCCCCCCCCCCCCTGCAGACAAACACGGATCCTCCTCTACGGCTGGAGGCGGATGAAAAGGTAGAAGAGAAGGAGGAAAGGAGCAGGGGACAGTGCAGAGGTTTGTCGGGGGACGGTGAGGAGGCACTTACTTGTCCTCAGTGTGCTGGGGGACGGCGGCGGCGACCAGCGCGGCGCGGTACTGCAGCAGCACCCCCCGCACGCTCTTCACAAAGCCCTTAGAGAGCGGGAAGAGCGGGAAGCCGAGGTCCGGGTACCCGCCGCCCTCCGGGAGGAAACTCCTGTAGCTCTTTCTTCGTTTCTTTGGTCGCACCACCGGCTGGCTTCCCACGGAGCCCGTCCCTCCTGCGCTGGCCGGGGCGGGCTCTGACGCCGGGCCGCGGACCACCGAGCCCGTCTTGGTCTCCCCGCCGGCAGAGGAGACCCCCTGCTGGCTGTCGCAGTCTGAGTTCTGGCTCAGCTCCTGCTGAGAGGCGGCTGTGGTGGAGGGGCTCAGCCCTGAGTCCTCCAGCTCCTCCTCAATAATACTGGTCACCCCTTTTCCTGCGACCCCCTCCTCCCCAGGCTTACTGGGGCTGCTGTGGGCCACCGCTACGGGCCCCTGCTCGTCCAGAGGCTCCACTGATGAGGGTCGGTGGGCTCTGGAGGCCATGTGCGCCGCCTGGCCCCGCTCGGCGCCTTCGTGCAGCTCCAGCCACGCCTCCAGCCGGTAGACGAGCCGCCAGCCGTTGGAGGCGAAGTGCTCCTGGATCTCCTGCTTGAAGACCTCCACCGGGTGCTGCAGCAGCTGCGTCATCGTCTGCACCATCTTGATCAGGGCCATCTCGTTGTAGCAGCGGCTGTTCTCGTATCCTTCCTGAAGGCCTCGGTCGCTGTCGAAGCCCGCCTCGTTATAGTACGGCTCGTTGACCAGGATAAGGCCTGACAAATACAAGAGACGGCAAACGGCACAAGGAGGTTCAGAGAGGACATTTCACTGTGTGGTGAAGGACTTGTTCACTTAATACACATTTCAGCTGGTCTTAGTTCAAACAAAAAGTACCCCTAAAGTAATACATAATTCACCTACCCTAATTCAATACCCATCATATGAAAGAAAGCATTTGGTTGCACATAATACCGCGAGCAAACCTTACCTATCCAAACATTTTTCAGACAAAAACATTTTTAATTCATAAAATATTTATATATATTGCACTTCAGCACAGTGCATACTTGATGGCCATTAGCTGCTGGGGAACTAGACCTATCATGTGTCACATTAGATTGAAGTGCGCTAGTGATGATTGGCTGTAAGCAAAACCACACTAAAGTGCCCATCTGGGTACAAAACGGATCAAACGAGGACGACAAGAGAAGTTTAAACTCTTATTGCTACTGGGTGGTTGATCAAGTTATTCAGTATCAACACCCAGTCCTGTTGAATCCTAGATACAGATTTGGTTTGACAAAAAGTAGTGAATTTCTGGACTCAGTTTGTCAGGCAGGCCGTATTGAAAGTGGTGTGTGTGTGTGTGTGTGTGTGTGTGTGTGTGTGTGTGTGTGTGTGTGTGTGGTGTGTGTAAGATACTGCTTGTTGAGTGACTGAGCAAAACTGCACTTGGGGGCCTTCTGAGCAAATGAACACATGAATAAAACATGTTTTTGCTGCAGAGTAGAGAAGCAGGATAGTGGAGTGTGTGTGTGTGTGTGTGTATATGTGTATATGTGTGTACGCTCTTACCTTGTATAGAGATGAGGACTTGAAGCAGACTGGACTTGCTGGTCCATCTCTCAGTGCCCTGTGGATCATCACAAACATTGATAATCATTAATCCCATTAACAATTTCTATTCAAATGTAATATATCACTTAATGTTAATTTTTCATCATTTAAAAAAGTGATTTTGAAAAGCCTTCAAATGTGTTGTTTTGTCTAACTTATCGATTTATTGCCCAATCATTTAACCACAATCTGCGCTACATTTAGTAACTATAACTGCAATTTTGACACAAAGCTTTCCAAATGCAGCTACGCATTTAGAATCAAGTCTGGTTGGAAAGAGACTAAGATGTGTTGCTTTAATGATGGTACACACAGACGTGTAAACCTGCAGGTTGTCTCTACATTTAAGTGATAAGAAGAACTGATGGATGTTTATACGTGACCCAGCAGAGCAGCACTCACCTTTCCGATCCAGGTTCCCAGCAGGCTGACGCAAACCTTGCCGTTGTCGTAGAGGTTGGGGTTGAGGCGGCCGCTGCACTGCGACAGGTAGCGGAACAGAGGCGGCACCGAGGGGTAGATGTTGGGCAGCTGGATGTCAAACACGAACAGACCGTCCTCGTAGGGCGTCCGAGTCGGACCTTTGATCAGAGCCGAGAACAGGTCCTGTGTGGAAGAAGGGAAAGAACATATCAAGATTTATGATGTATGTAAATGTGAGTATCTGCATCGTCGTAGATTTGAAATATTCAATGCAGAGATTGTTCTCAGGTTCTCAAAGCATGATATGCTTTGAGAACCTGCATAGTTCACAGGCTATGAAAATATTTCTGGACATCATTTTACAAGCTTAACATCTTGTGGTTTAAGTTTGTAATATGTGCAACTATAAAGTGAATTGTGGCCAGACAAATGTAGTAACTGTTATTGCTGCTTTGAACCCACCATGCGATCTTCAAATGTTTTGACCATGATGCCGTCGGGCAGGGACGTTGCGAGCAGAGCCATTTCCTTCCTCACTGTGCTGAAGAACTTCTTTGCCTCCGCTGGCTGAAACTCCATTTTATAAAACGATTGTGTGTCTGATAAGATGAACAGAGAGAGAACAGACATACGATGATTAAATATAAACACAGAAGGAAAGAGAAATGAAGGAATACAACTTGTGTGTTCAGGGAAGCTAAAGGATGTGTGTGTGTGTTGGTCTCAGTTTGACAAAACCCTCTCTACATGTCTCACCTGGGGCCCACTCCAGCACAGAGAACACCTCCCCCCTGGCGCTGGTGAAGGTGACGCCGGGCTTCCCTCCGCTCTGCTGGCACAGTACCGGGGTGTCACTGAGAAATTCGCTGGGCCACTCCCCTCCTCCCACCGGGGTCTGGGGGTCCTGCTGAGGCTTCTCCTCTCCCACTCGCTCTACCTGAACAGACACACATCGGCACGTGAGACACACTAATGATGCACTTTTGACCACTTACACATTCATTTGGACTGCACTGGTAGTGTTGTAGATGTATTGAGCTAACCTCTGTCGCTGCTCCTGCGCCCCCTGCCTCCACCACAGCCTCCATCTTCTCCTCCTCCACGATGGCGACGTTGTCCAGCGTCTTCCTCAGGTTCTCCTGCAGCTTCTTGATGTCGTCCAGGAAACGTTTCTCCTTGGTCGGCTTCTCTGGTACGGTGGGCGTCACTGAGCTTGCTACGCTGGTGGTGGAGGCGGGTTCAGCGGAGGTCGGGGAGGTGGGAGACCCTCCGGTCCAGAGCTGCTCCACAGTCATGTTCTTCAGGCTCTCCAGGATCTTCAGCGCCTCCTTCAGCTCCCTGAAGCCCCGAGAGGAACCCTCTTTACCGGGCTTCTCCGCTCCGTTCACTGCTCCTGGAGTGGTTCCTAGGCAGGGAGAAATTACACGTTTATTACATTCTGAGCATAATTGGAGTTGGGAACAAATGGTTGTAGAATGGTTATACGTCGAAGCATCACATTTTAATAAGTTATTTGTTGTTTTAGATTCAAGACAACAATGGATGTCATGGCAAAGAGGAATAGGCTTTATCAGGTCAGGGTACACAGGCAATACTTGTTGGTAGGATCAACTTAATGGCTTTTATTTAGGGGGTTTTTTATGATAAAAAAAAACTAAACCTAGAAACATTTAATCGTTGTCTAGAGCAAATTAAGTTTCCCTCAAAACCTAATTGACATTACAGTTTGCGTTGCATGGGACCCGTATTTTTAGAAAACCAGATGGGTTTGCTTAGGTTGATGATTAGTTTTTTTTTTGTATTCATTTATTTAACAGGGACAGTGCACATTAATTAACATTTCTGTAAATGTGCTAGAGTTAGCCAAGAGGCTATTTTTCATCTGTAGTCCCTGGACAGATTTGAAAAGTCAACCTAAAACACATTTCATTTTAAACAAGTAAATACAATACATTTAAAACATGGAACACACATTACTGGAATACTTAAATATATTATGGTGTTCTGACATGGAATCTGCAATGTCTAGGTGTTCATGAAGTTTTTGAAATGTAGCAATATCCATTTATCATTTTACTGTAAAAATGTATTCTTTGTGGTTTGCAATTAAATGCTAATCAATTGTTTTGTATAAAAAAAAATTCCTATGTGTGCCTAAAGATATACATTCCACTTTTTTTAGAGTAGCTATCAGCCGAATGCCGACACAAGATTCAAGAAGGATAATTAATGGTTTGCACTGTGGAGTCAACAGTATTCCCTTAAAGGTCCCATGTCATGGCCATTTCTACTGATCATAATTCCATTGTTGAGGTATACTAAAATAGATTTGTATTGTGCAATTTTCCAAACTGACATTGGTTTCTCATACAGCGTCTCTGTAAAGTATGTGTATTCACTCTCTGTCCTAAACGGCTTGTTGGAGCTCCTGCCCCCCCCTCCCTGTGAGCCCAGTGGCCGTCTGCGAGACAGCGAAACCCAGCCCGAAACACACACACACCCGCAGCCTGGCTGGGAGTTTGTGTGTGTGCTCAGGCTGAGTTCCGCGGTGTCTCGCTGTCTCGCCGATCCCACACCAGTGAGCCAGCTCACAGTGTCCCGCTCCTCGCAGCAGCGAGCCTCGCAACGTCCCACCGAGTGCGTGTGTGTGAGGAAGTCCGCGGATTGGTCCAAACTTAACGGCTCCGCGGACGTTACGTTACGCCACTATACCCGAAATACGTCACTATACCCAAGAAGTAAACAATGGAAAAAGAGAAATCTCCAACAAGGCGTTCTGGGGCAGCATAGACAGGTCTTTTCTGTGTTAGAGTTTTACTCCCTACAGGGTGTACTTTGAGGGTTTGTGACTCTGCAGACCGTTTACATGCAGAAAAACCTTCATAACACACAAGGGGACGGGTAATAACCGGAAAAGCATGACATGGGACCTTTAACACGAACAAGATTATAAATATTTAAAAAAAATAGTCTGCCCACCTCCAGCAGAAGCAGGGCTCGCAGCAGCTACAGACGCCTCCCCCTCCTCTCCAGTGGCCCCTTTAGAGGGGCTGGTGACCCCAGCTTTGCCTCCCTCTAGAGGGGGGATGATGAACATTGAGGAGCCGGTGGGGGTGGGGGTGGGGGTCACCGTGTCGGTGGCGTCTGTGTTGTGGATGTGGCTGTCGTCCTCCGTGGTGAGGCCGTTGTCCGTCTCCCAGCTGTCGCTCTCGTCCTCCCACTCCTCAGTGGACAGCACGCTGCTCGTCTCCTCCACCGAGTCGTAGTCCGTCTCCTCGATCTCAGACTCCACGTTGTAGAGGTGCTGCGTGTGTGATTGTTAGGAGACATTTGTTAGCAACATTTCTAGAATAAAACATTATATTTGACTTAAAGATAAACATTAACCTGTGGCAGGACGATGGTCATGGAGTTATCCGCCCACACCACCTCCACCTTGCTGCTCACATCCACCCGGGACACCTGGCCCACTGACGTCTGAGGGGAGGGTTATAAAGAGAAACGAGCATTATCAGCAAGCCCCAACACGTTATACAACATGAAAACAAGGCTACTGGATATGTTATTGTGTGTTGTACAGATTGTAAAGCCCTTAAAAAAGGTAGATTGCTTTTATCTTTCATAGACACTCTGGACATTATGCCTAACAGATCAGATGACTGAGTCCTTTTGGTTCATATTATTCTTATTGTAAGAATATTTTTGCTTACAGTTTTCCCTTATTATTATTATTTAGAATTCTTTTTTTTTGTATGCCTAATTTTGTTTCTTACCTGAGGTCGAGGCGGGATGGGGAAGGGGATGTTTAAAATAGAAAACTGAAAGTGAGCATTATGTTTCTGTCCCTTTCTTATTCTGCAATTGTATATTTTGTACTTTTAATGCTCAATAAAATATATATATAAAAAAGGTAGATTGCACTGTTTATAACTCCATAATAATAATAATACTACAATTGACATTTTTGATTCCCTTTGACTTAACATATGGTTACATGTCCATCCCTTTTCTCACCTCATTCTCACAGTCGTTGTTTCCGTTCTCCGAGTTCCATATTCTGATGACGATGTCTGTGGTGCGGAAATGGAAATCTGGATGATCTGTGATGTCGTACACGCTGACATCCTCCTCCATACCAAAAACCTGGAAGAAAAACAAAAATGTTCTGAATTATTTGATTTATACGACAGCATCAAGTTCAATTGACACGTATAGCAACACAAGAAGATCTAATGACGGTATACGAAGGAGTGTAGTGAGGTTGCTGTGGTTAAAACATACAGCTTTGCATACCTGCGTAAAAACACCTCACCCCTAAATGATCATTTGTTTATCAATTACTGACCCCGTGTTATCTTAAATTCTTGAAGAAACTGAACAAACGCAGCGAAGGCGTTGAAAAACAGCCTGGATTCTTTGTTAAATCCCAAAATGGAGAATATTCTTGTTGAATTGAAAATAAATGGGGGTCGCATTTCACAACAGCAAAGCAATGTGGTAGTTTGTTAACTGATGTTTTTATAATGTTTTGCTACTTTTAGAAATAAATATAGTTGTAACTATATCAATTCATTGGGATTGTTCTTCCAGGGTGATTCATTGATGTATAATTGGTCATTTTTAGTCATTCTTAAAAGGCCCCCTTTCCTCCCTCTATAACACTCTGTAAATCTCTGTCGTCTCGTTTCCCTGACTGACCTCCACGTCGTCGCTGCTGGAGTTGAGTTTGATCCACTTGACGACACATGTTCTGCCTTTGTGATCACCGGACTGGATCACACCGTACACCCCCGGGTCCAGGAGGGCTTGGGCTGAGAGAGCACACACACACACACACACATCAATTAGAGATACAACAAAAGGCCTTAAAAAGGTAAAGATTTACAACAGAAGGAAATGACCACTTCAGATAACAGCCTTATCATAAACTATAGATATATTTTAGTCCATTTCAAACACACATTGTCTTGGCATAGTTGAAATGACCTAGATGCTTTAGGTACTAGGTGACCTATATAATAAATCTCAATGCGGTCCAAAGGGACAGAATTCTGACACAGTGTGTCTTCACTGGTCTGAATGAGGAAAATAGAACAAAGTAAAACAACCGAATTCTCCATTAAGCTGATTTTCCTTACGTCTTTTGTCGACTACGAAGTCCCCGGGACAAAACTCATGGCTGTCGAGGTGCTGGATGGGGATGAGCTCGTTTGATCTGATCCCTTTCTCCAAGCGCCCGTCCTTCCACATCACATCAGACGTGGTCTTTGTTGATACAACTTCCACTGCAACCCTGTTCTCACACACACAAAGGGAACAGTGTTATAACTCTCCCTTGACTTTTATCCTCTAGAGGAGAGATTCCATCATGGGTTACCTACTTTTACTTATCACAAAGGAAAGTTACTGTACTGTACATTAAGATATTTCTGGTAATATTCTGGCCCTGTTCCCATTCTGTCCTCTTTTCGTATAATTTATCATTACTAAGCCTCTCTCGCTCTGTTCTTCCTGTCATCCTTTTGTCCTACCTCACTGCTATCCAATTCCTTTATGAAGAAACAGGACTGATGAGTAAACATGTAACTCAAACATCTTAGAATTAAATACCAAACACAGAATCAAACTACAGTAACTAATATGTCCCCATTATCCAAACAAGAGCCTTGTTATTTTAATAACAAAAATATATATTTTTTTGCTGCTCTCACACAAGTGTTATTGAATATAGCGGGAGACTTACAGACGCCGTTCCATGAACGACAAATATTATAAGTCTACATGTTTTGATTATGTCATTTTTTACATTACCTACCTATCCATAAATGTTATGCTTAATAAACAAATAATCATTTAACCAAATTTCTTCTAATTGTCCGGTAAATTTAAATCTTCCAAGACAAGTGGACCGGAACCAATTCTTTCTAACGGAAGCTCTGAGAGGTAGAGGGTTTGAATGGATGAAACATAGATAAAACCATTAGTACATTAATTTAGAAAGGCATCAAAGATACAGTGGAGAAGGAAAAAGACACAAATGCTGTCTGTACGGCTGCTAACCCACCGGTCACCAGGCTTGAACTCGCGGGAGAACTTGGTCCTCTTCTTCTTGTGCTTCCTCTTCAGGTTCCGGATGGAGAGAGGGACGCTCTTCTTGCGGTTTGCTCCCAGACCGCCGCTCTGAGAGGAAGCTGTGGAGCTGGCCGATGACGTCAGAGAGCTGCAACCAGGATTACAGTCACAGGTTAATGTATCATTTCATTATACCAACAGTACACACACAGAAAGGATCGTTTTAGTTTAAGATGGTCCTCTTAAGTCAGACAAAGACCCTTCAAAGTCCAAACCGATAGATATTCAGTCTAAAATCATAAATAACCTCTGAACACCTGCAAACATTTAGCAGAGAGAAGCTTGAACCAGAGAATTCTAGGTCGTTTTACTGAAAATTGCTTCAAACATTAAGCAATAATCAAAATTGTGATGCAAATTATTTTCTTTTAATCAACTATAAGCCACGTTGTTTAAGCTATACTGTTCTGTACACAGAGGAAAATAGGCTGATTTGACATTAGTCAAAAAACGGAACTGTAGACATAATTACTGGGAAATAATTGTAATAATCTAACACCCAATACATGTATAATATCAAATGTATATATGAACAGACCAGGTATCGTCAGTGTCCTCTGCAGCCTCGTCGTCAGCGTCCTGCTCGCCGTGTTCAGCCGAGCTGTCGTTGGGGTTCTGGGAGTCCGCAGGGTTCTGACCCGGGACCACGTGGCCGTTGTTGTTGTTGGGATTAGACGGGTCGTCCTGCTCCGATTTGTGCTCCCCTGGTGAGAGGTATAACAGGAGTATACATGAACACTGGTATAAACTTAAAAAACTATATTATATATTTTTTAATATGGTTTTACACAGAGAGAGACAGGGTGCAGTATGTTTCTGACCTGAAGCATAGTGGACCACGTCTCTCTCAAAAATAGAAGTACGTTTTTCACTTATTTCCTTTGATTTGTCTGATGAAAAAAAATCTAATATGATTTTCACTCCATTTGTGGAAGGATTGTGTTATGTCTCAAACTTTAAATGACTCTGCTTTGCTTTACATGGAGTCACTTCTCACTTACTTTTGGGAAGATGTTAGCATAAAGGAAAAATGTGTCATTGTGAAATGATAGAGAAAATATATTTTAAACCACCCTAAAAACCAATCTGAAGACTAACACCCCATAACACATCGGTCAATGTGTGAAAAGAAACTGAGAAGTAAAACTAAAATGAATATGTTCCCAGCTTAATTAGCAGATGAATTCAAAAGGTTATTTGTGTTGTAGTGTTGCAGTTGAATTCTCATTAGCACATCACATCACTGAGTGTTCTTGGCTGAGGGAAATTCTTCAACATTTGAGTCGCGCTGAGCTACTAATAGAGGCCACCCTGACGACATTAGAGAGCAGAAGTGTGTGTGTGATTCTGTGTTTTCTCTGCAGAGTAATGTTTGGCACCTTGTGCGTCAGCGTTCTCCGTCTTCTTCCCCGAATCTTTCTTGAACATCCTTTTCAACTGCAGGCGGCACACCATCACACGACACACAAACACACAGAGGGAGAGTTTGAAGATTATAAAAAATAAACTTGCACTTATACTGTAAAAAAAATACTGAAGTTCTCTGCACCAAATACCACAGGATCAAACATTCAAAGACAACTTTCTTAAAATACACCAGCACCGAGATCCCCCTCTGTTCGTTCACTTCTTGTGTAAAACAGCTGGTTTATTTGTTAATAAGCTCCCGAGGGGATAACAGGCGGCGTCAACTTACACTCTGACAAGTAACAAGCACTTCAGATACTGTAATAGAACAATCTATACTATGACATGTATAACCGAGTACATGTACTTAAGGATACGTTTTAGATACTTGTATTTTCATTTTATGCTACTTAATACTTCTCTGGAATTTGGATCTTTGCCCCTTCGGACTTATAATACATTATTATACACGGAAACCACTATGATTTAGCAAATTGGAAACAATGTAAAACTTTATTTATTCCTTGGTTGAATTTGAAAGCTCCTTGGCAGTGTCTGAGTTACAAATAGGCCGCACCTTTACCATCAACATCAAACTAATGTAGGTTTTTTCCAATAATAATAATAATTAAAAAATGTGATTTGAAACTAGCCCTTTCTCTATAATGAGTAGTTTTGTAACTTTGAGTATATTTTAATGCCAATACCTTTGTTCATGTACTTAAGCACCATTCTGAATGTCGTACTTTTACCTGAGTATTTATACTTACCAAGTAAAATACCTTACTTCTTACACAACAGAGATACATGTATCACATTTTATTGTCACCTTTCTAGCCACGGGGTCTTCAGGCATGACAGGGGCGCCCTCGGGTCCTTCACAGGTGATGCGGGTGGCGTCCCCCTTGGCGGGGAACACATACAGGGCCCGTTCTCCCAGCTGCCTCTGGGTGTGGTCGTAGTATCCTAGACGCCGCACCCTTCACCAAAACAACACAGTAACACCACAGTTTCAGTTTGTATCTGTTCTGCAGATTACATTAGTGTAAGAACAAACAGATGAATGTTCAGACTGACCGGCAGAGACTCTCCTGTGGGATGGTGGAGGGGGGGGGATAGACGCTGTCTGAACCTTTGGGGGAGAAGCTCTTCGTGATCCACGTCACCTTCAGCTCGACCACTTTCACCTGAGGAGAGCAGCACGGAGAAGATTTAGAGAAACACCACAACATATGAACAATTATTCAAGTATATGACCTTAACACTATTGGCCTTGGAAAAAAAAAAGTCATCTTCCTCTCACCTCTTCCACCACCACCCTGAACTTGCACTTCCTGCTGAGGACGGGTTTGACCCCCGACAGCCACTGAACGTTACAGAAGACTTTGGCGGGGCCAATCAGCACCTGACCCGGGTAGAAACCATACGCCTCGTCGAAGAAAAGACCCTGAAGAAAACACACAAACAAGGATACATTAAATATAAAGAACTGAGAACATAACAATACAGCGTTTAGATAGCAAAATGATGTATTATATTCAACAACTAGAACAAATTGATTTAAAATCAAATCCAAATCGTGAAATGTACTGCAACACATACACTTTTTTGTGAAAATGATGAAAATGAAGAATTCAACTCCCATAACGGTTGGTAGAAAAGTATAACTGAAGGGAGGGGAAAGACAGACGCTTACTCTTATTTGGAAAGATAGTTTCATCTTTTCTACTTTAATATAAAAAGACTAACAGATGGGAAGGTTATATTTTAAATTGGGGGGGTGTATTCAATACCTGTACGTTTCCTTCCTGTATAATTATATTCCAAGTGCTTCTAGTATGCTATGTTTATATGTATTGTTTTTCTCATTGCTCATCTTTCTTTGCATCCATTATTCTTATCAATATTGATGTATATTATATGAATTATTGTTTTTAGAACTGTACATTACCGAGTGTTAAAAACAGAACAATAATCTTAAAGTAGGAAGTGGCAACGCTTACAGTACTTTCTCTTGTTCTTGTTCTACACGCATGCAAATATCTTATATCACAAAAAACTAATTACACCCATAAAATAAGAATCATTTACAGACCATGAACCGGCTCTTTTGAGAGTGATCTGATCCCTGACTAACAGCGGCTCTGTAAATGGCGGATGTACCCGAGGTGACAGACAGGAGCTCATGGCTACTCACCGAGTCACTGACATGTGGACAGACGTCGTAAAGCTTCGCTCCGTCCTCCACACTCATGGAGCACCTGGAGGGAGAGAGGAGACAGGCTGACGTTCACTGGATCTGGCACTGAGGGATGTGTGCCAGCAAGCAGACATGCCAACACACTTCAACATGGACACAGTACACGCTGTTTAATCAAAGACACAGACACTCACACGCAGACACATGCAGACACACGCAGAGACACACGCAGAGACACAGACACATGCAGACACACACAGAGACACACGCAGAGACACAGACACATGCAGACACACGCAGAGACACACGCAGAGACACACTCTCTGTCTACCTTGCTCCGTTGGAGAGCTTGAGGATGATGTGATTAGTCAGGTCGTACACTTTCCCCAGCCAGAAGTCGTAGGCGATGTAATCTCCATACATAAAAGACTAGAAAAACACAATCGGGGACAAGAACACATTATATTTCATATTTAATAAAAGTATTATCAGTTACACTGTATGTGTGTACATACTAATGACTTACTGCTATGTGTCAATTAAAAGCATTAGTTTTAATGTCTAAAAAATGTATTTGTTAAAGCTTTATTTCCTTTTTTTTTTTTTTTAAAGTAATTTACTGGAAAGAACTACATTGTCGTCATCAGGCATTTGTTACTGTCGCTGTGTTGAATGCAGTTTTTTGTATGAATCAACCCTAAGTGCTGACAGTGTGTTGAAGCTGATTCTTGTTACTTTGACAATCACCTCTATGTATGAAGGTGTGCAATTTATATACAGTTATTTTCAGGAAGTAATGGACCTGTAAAATGAAGCATCATCTTACATGTATTTGTAGTTCCTGTGTGTGAGTATTAAGACCCTGCAGTCAAAAGTCTTACCCAGATGTGCTGCAGGTCTCTGCTGTTCACTGGATACAGAACACAGTTTGTTCCCACCAGTTTCACCGCACACTCGATGTCAATGTTGGTCACAATACCACACTGGTTATCCTGTAATGCAACATTCATAAGTTCAGTACACCATCATATGAATGATCATCTCTCTGCCACAGTATCCTGTTCGTCAACACTTGATTCTTGCTTATAAGCTTCAAGCCATATAAATAGATTGCCTATTTATTTTTTACTGAGCTGCATACGCAACACTGGATTGACGGTATGTGAACAAGACAACTCTTGAATTTCAACCAAAAGAAAAGATGTTGCATTTGTATTCAGAACAGGAGTTGTTGCCCCGCGTTAACACAGAAAGCCTCTTTGAAAGGGTGGAGCTGCAACAATATTCCAGTCATGTCTGATGCAGCAAATGGAACAGAGCGGTGAGCAGTGACATGACTGACAAAGAGAGAGGCTTGATTGAAATGAAGAGAGAAATAACAAGACAGAAAGAAAGGTGAGGCGAAAAAAAGTGAGAACTTTGGAAGAACGTCGACTTACATTTGAGTTGTTTCGTCGCACGATATCTCTGATGACGATGGATCGATCTTCAAGTTTCAGCTGTAAAAGAAAGGACAACAAGTTTAGAGAAAGTTGGCTAAATCCACATCTTTGAGAAATCATAAACCAACAGAAGCTGCTGCTGGGCGTCGGTCAGTGAAATTGGATCATTATTATTATCTTGTAACTCCAGAGGAGAACTCTTCACAGCTCTGACCCTGTGATAAACCCCTCCGAGAGGGACTTGGAAATGATCCAGCTACACATAAATCACATTCACACTTAGACCGTGACAACATCTCTGATATGATTTGTCACAGCCTCGTCCTGTCCCCGCTCGCAGCCTTGAAGACCGCACAATCAGCAGATCTGTAACGCCCCCCTGAGAGCAGATATATTTATTTTTCAAGTCAAACAGAGACACATCTCACCGAGCCGGCCAGCATGAGCCTCTAGAGTGAAAACACCAACCATATTGTCACCATCAATTTGTAATCAACACATTGAAATAAAAATAGGAGCTGTAAGACGACATGAACCCACAGCTTGATGAGCAGATGGAGCCAAAACAGTATTGATCAAATATTACACGCCCGGAGAGACTCAGGGTAGAAAACAGGTGCTGCTGGCATGAGATCAGCTCCTGAGTCGCAGCGGGACACCGTTTCCCGTGAGCTTAATTTTGCTGTGTCATTATGACTGTTAACAGGCCTAAAGACAGAAATAGCACTGCATTACAAATTGGCCATGTTGCTTCAGGCACCAAATAGCTGATTAAATATGATCTACTGTTTGAAAGCCAGTTTGAGTAATAGATCCATGAGAATGGAGGCTCATCAGACAGATAAACACTGAAAAGGATTTTTTTTACTGCAGTACAAAGCAGGATTTGACAACTCTGGGAAATTATCATTTTATTCTCCGTGGCAATGATCCCTGGGTACACACCAAACTCTGTGACAAATCAGTCTACCTGGTAGCCCCTTGCTAAATGACTTCACATTGCAGCAAAACATGTAGTTATGGTTTTAAAAGGTTGCCAAGGATGACCAAACTTAGACTTATTAAGGTGAATTAGGGTCTGCTTTTTCCTTGCACTGATGTTGTCCTTCTCAACACAACATTAAGCATCTTTAGTCAAAATGAATTTGTTATTAGTCATTTAAAATATGAAGCACAAAGTGTAGTATCTCATTTCACTGAAAGTATTAACTCAAGCATTGACCAGCTTTTCCTGGGACTTTTACCCATGGTTCATGCTCTTTCTTTAGTGGAGACCTTTTGATTGTACTTAAAAGCCCTATCTATTGGCTTCATACTTGATGGGGTCTGTCTGAATAAACCTTTTACTTAAGTCTGAACAGTTTTGTTCTTCTCACTGGTTTGTAGTGTACAGGGCTCAGCTACAGGGCTGGTATTATTCCTAAAAAGGAGGAAGCAGTATGAAGACTGACTCCATCTACTTTACTTGACCTACTTGAAGAAGTCAAGGGGAGCATTTACCCATCACAGAGATGACAACACAATAAGGCCAGATTTGATTAAAAGCTTGATTTCTCACATTATATAACAGACTTAAGTTTAATAAAGTTGAATAAAGCACTGAAAAAGAAAGTCGCACAAATACCATCTTTTGAAATGTACCATTTACTATTAAGTACATGAATTATCTGCACTGCATGAAGGAGGTGGGGTAGAAAATGACTAAAACATTTATTAAAGAATTACATAAACCAGTAAACCAGCAAGACAGAATGTGTGTGTTTTCTACTACTTGTACTGAATTCTAAATTAGTGTTTTGAGTTTCACTGAAAATGTGTCAGTATAATAGCAATTATTTCAAGAAACAAATCAGTTTAACATTTACTGTGTATGGTTTGTCCCTTTTCTGTACACTCTCAGCCACACAAGTGACTGATTTTAAAACCAAGTAACTTTCAAAACAGCTGAACAGACAACACAAATGAAGCCACCACAGGTCTGTGTGGCAGAAAATGAACAATAGTTTAAAAGTGTGTACATGTTATTGCTTATAAGAAGCTACCTTAGGAAGACTTGGCACCAACTCAACGAGCGACAGCACAGTCTGCTCTGCTGGCAGTGAGCAAAGTGTCGGTGAACATGAGCCACAGCCGAGGAGTTTGAGCAGAGACAGATGGAAGTACTGAGGGGGAATGTAATTAGGAGTAAATAGAGGAAAGAAATTAAAAACTCGGCAGTCTGCTGCATGTTAAGTGACTGAAGGGCGAGTGGTTATCTTATTACTGAGCTCACACCCATGTATGGCACATTCCTGAGGACATAACCAGGAGGCTATCAATTATATTCATCTCACACTTTTTTGTTTTCAGATATCAACTCTAATATATTCCTATTTATTTTCCAGGTCTCTTATTCATATCATTTTGGCCGACTATGGGTCATGGACAATTTCCGAACTCACACCATTGAAGAGATTCTGGAAACAAAGCACCGACAAACCAATGTTTGCTAACGCCCTGAAGCTTTTGAAGTAAACTATGAGTTTACATATTGTCTCTTTAGTGTGACCTATAGTATAGTGAGATTAGACACAAATATCTCCATTAAAATAGGATGCAGGTTGAAAAGCAGCAGCATTTCCTATTAAAATGATATCAAAATCAAAAATTAAACCCGTCGTATATTTTTTATGACCGTCCTCTTTTTTCCTATGTTTAAAGATATTCCAATTGTTCTGCCGAGAACAGAATAACAAGCACTCACACACTCCTGGGTACTTGGCATTGTGTGTGGAGGAGATACGATCGATGGGTCGCCATGTTCCTGTGTAATCTATTAAACAGCAGCCTGTCTGCTCCTCATGTCTCTGCTGCTGGGGGTTATCGTACAAACACACACAAGCACACAAAGAAGAAGAAAGAGAGGAGGATAGTGCTATCTCACACATCATAGTGATATGAAATTGAAGAAATATAAAAACAGGTTTTATATTCTATAACAGTTTATATAAGGTGTTTTTTTTTAATGAGATGACAACCTGTATTTACTGCTTGTGCACATGCTGCTGAGTGTGTGAGAAAGTGAGTGAGTGTTCTCGCATACTAGTTCCCTTTTTTGATGTACCCTTGGTTTGAATATTTCTGCTTTATCTGTTTGTATTTATTTTCATTTCAGGAGGAATGCAGAATTTATTTTGAAATCTCTATACTTGAGGCTCACACAATTGGAGATCATGTAATAAGATCATTTATTTCATTCAACTAAAAATCCTCCATATCAAAACTTACTGTGGTTTGTTTAGGTCAAGCTTATTATAATAAGGGAGAGTCATCCCTTGGTCTGCAAATGAAACAGATGCCTGTTGTCTGCAGAGGAGCGAGCAGGGCTCCAGAGTGCAGCCATTTGTCAAGTGTGACCAAACATTTTCATCGGTCACACCAGTGTGCCTGACATTTAACAGGGGTGTGTGTGTGTGTGTGTGTGTGTGTGTGTGTGTGTGAAACCACTCCCTTTACCTCAGCTCGAGCTACACATCAACCGGAAAACATGCCAGTTATTCAAAATGGTTAACCAATCCAGCTGTCCCTGGTCAGATGTCTGATCCTGACCAAAGGCACCGGATTTATTTCAGCAGCGAATTACCAATATGTCTGGGAACTAAGAATTAAGGTAATGCTAAAAATGTAATATTGATGTGGCAAAAGAGGAGGTGAAAATATTTGCGGGAACCTCAAATATTTGCTATCAATGCTGAAAAACAATGACTGGGGACGCTATGTAGCTCACCTATGATACACAACTCCTTGAACACAACCTGATCTGACACATATTCGCTTCCTTCAACAATAACAAAAACACATAGACTGTATGTCTGCACGTGTACTGCAGAATATTTAGAAAACTAGACATATCAGTTTCAACAAACCAGCCGACTGTTGCTATACCACGTGTAGTGATGATGAGGAGTGAGGCGGGAGGGTGGTGGTCAGACGACAAAAGAAAGAAACGGAATGCTCATTTACACAAACGTGTACGTGTGCGCGTGCGTGCGTGCGTGCGTGAGTGAAAAGAAGACAACCTTGGCTGCCTCTCCAGCTGATAAGGTAGAAGGGTCCAGATTGATTACAGGAATCGATGGAGGACAGTATTTGCTTTGACTTCCCGGCCTAATTAACACAAGTCATTATTCAGGTGCCGTACGAGGAGGAGGAGGAGGGGGGGGGGGGAGAAAGAGACACTGCAGAGGACTGCAGCTCGGGGCCACGCCTGTTCTCCACTCTGACTGACTGTGTTCTACACCAGGCTTTCTCCTCTTTCATCTCCATGCTAACAAGCTATCGGATCCCCCAAACACCACAGCAAGTCAGATATACACAAGTGGCTACAGTAGTAACAGGTGCACATAGTTTATATAACTCTACACACACATCTGCCTTTTCTGTAATTCCACCCACAGATTCTATTAAGTATGGTAAAATGAAGGTGCAGTCAGCGTACAGCGCTACATCCTCCACCTCAGCCTCAGGCTCATCACGGTTCTGCTACATCATTAGTTCTGGGGAGTTAATTATATAAATAGGAACTCACTGTTTTTCTGTAAACTATATCCACTAATGGCTTCCAATTATTTTGTATCTCCTGCAAGTATTCTAACATTGCACAGTTTTTCTGGTTATTCTGTAGTATTTATGGACATGAAAAAAACTTGATATAACTATGTACTGGTGATATTTGGGATGTGCATACAGTAGATGTGGAGATGTGGCCCTGCACACCAAAACAAGTGTCTTCAGATGTTGTGGGTAATGACAGGAGGAGAGTTAAAGTGATACTCCACCCACAATCTAAACTATCAGCATTGAATCACCTGCTGACTTGGTAGGTGGCACAACAAGTTATAAGTGTTAAAGCTAGAAATCTTAACACTTCTGTAGAAAATGTCACTTTTCTCCTGTCCATCTGCAACACATTCACAGCAAGATATTTAGACACCACGCTGCCACCATTACTCATTCACAAACCTCTAAAGCTAGTGTTTGTTGGGTTGTGCATGTTAGAGCACCAAACTCTTCCTCAT